TTATTGATCAGCAGTAATGCATGTTCTTTTAATCTCGTAAGGATTAGGTTATAAATCTTACTTTGCAATCATTATCAGTTTGGCTACAGCTTAAGTGATTATGGTAAGATCCCTTATGGTTTGGAAAAGATATTGTGACACCGGGTTTGTATCATGAAAACTATTATCTTTGATGTATTTACCAAAAGAACATCTGCTGATATTATGGATATCATGAAAACTATTTTCCAAATAGTATCATATTATTTTGAGCTAATATTCTTTGGCAGCAAATACGAAACCTTTTTTAAGGACTGCATATGAATCTTTCAGTCATTTATATCAAAATTTTCTGGGTCCACTTGTTGGTAGCGAATTTATTTGGTTAAAACCTGCAAGTGGTTTGCGTTCAGGAAAAAAAAACTTGTAAGTGGTAGTCATGCCTGACTAGTTCACGAGATATTAATATGCGTGCAAAAGAAAAGTTAAAAGTATATCCATTCCTTGTTTCTAAGATTGGTTGTTGCTTCTTTTCTGTTTCCAGGTATTTTTGTGGCATTGGCATTACGGTTTGATGTTTCCAGAGGCAAAGACAGCCAGTATTTTAAGAGTGCATTTTTTGGCTATGCATTCGGCGTTGTCCTTACTATTGTTGTTATGAATTGGTTCCAAGCTGCACAGGTTAGTCTAAGTATTTTAAGGATTTTGCTTCAGACTTTTTTCCTTAGTAGTCATATTGTACTAGTTAATCTAATTATTTGTGCTGTCTCCTTTTCAGCCTGCACTTTTGTATATTGTACCGGCTGTTATAGGCTTTTTGGCCGCTCATTGCCTATTGAATGGAGACGTTAAACCGGTTGGTTTAATAACCTTATGGAATATTTGCTTATGCTTTTGCATGATTCTCACTCTTTTTGGAAGGACAAACATGACCTGCACTCCATTATACATATAGTTAATGTGATATATGCTACTTCCAGTGTTTGGCCCTCATAATGGGATGCCAGAGCATGTATGTTTATGAGATTGTTTTTGACTCCCTGAGTTAGCCAAAAGCGAGCGAAAAAATGGGCAAATGGCTTTGGTATCATTGCCAAACAGCACATATATTGGACTCGTGTGTAGTGTTCAACTTAATCCATGTGTTCTTGAAAGAGCCAAATTAGGCAGGTTCAAACCCGTAATTCTCCTTTGTCCTGAAGGTTTGTCCTCCGTTAGATATGGCCTAAACCCTCCATTACTAATGACTTACTATTGGATGCCTTTCTCAGTCTTATGTTGGAGACTCTGGTGTAGTGCAATATGATGAAACCTTGGCAGATTCTCTATCATATATCCATTACTTGGTTTACTAATATGGTTTCTCTATTAACACTGTCTGCAGTTAATGGAGTTTGATGAGTCCAAGACTTCAATTTCATCTCAAGATGGTAGCGAGAAAACATCAGACGAGAAAACATCAGACAAGAAAACAGAGTGATTGAAAACAAAGTCAGAAAAAGAATAGGCTGGCATACTGAATCTATTTGTTAAACTTACCTTTTCAAACACCAATCTATTTAGCTGAAGCAGAAACTGTTGTTTTAAATGTGGAGCCAGAAATTTCTTTTCTTTTTTTTTTTTTTTTCTCTTTTTGGTTTTCTGGATTACAACATTGGCTCACTCAAGGCAAGTGCAAACTCATGCACCATTGTAACAGATTTTTTGAATTTAGCAAGGAATATTATTTAGCCTCCCCCTTATAATGAGATTGTGTTAGACATATTCTTGTTTTCATTTCGAAGTATTTATTTATTTGTTTTCAATTTAGAACCTTGTAATTATATTTGGTAGCCCGATATCTGAGGCATCTGTGGAAGCAAACCAACAAATGCTTAAAAGATATCTTGTGTATTTGCTAAAAGATTTAAAAGTTAAATTTTATCAAAAGGGTTTTGCGGAAAAAGCAAAAAATGCTTTGTTTAATTTTTACCCATTTTGCTAATTCACTTCCCCAAGTTTTATATACGTACGTACATATATATATATATATATTTATACATATGATGTATCTCTACTATGCCGTGTTTTTGAAGTTAGTACTATTTATGGGT